TCAACACTATTCTTCTATTAAAAACAAAATTAAGATAATTATAATGACATAGGTTGGCGTTAACAAATTTTAAAAAAAATAAAAACTTAACCACGAAGGTTTAGTGAATAGTATGCAATTTTACTCATGCTATTAAAACAGTTATCAAGAGTAGTTCATATTGAAAGTCTACTAGAAAATCTTATTTTAGTGCTTAATTTCCCTACTAATTTCGGCTTTTTAATTCTATGGGGGTCGCGGGTCACTTACTTTTTATAAAAGGGGGTCGCCACTCGAAAAAGGTTGGGAACCACTGGAGTAGATGGTCATAAAAAAGAGTCTGAACCCCAATGGTGTGTGACGTCATTCACATAGACGGGTTCCGTGGATCCAGAGGTATATGCAGTTTTTGGGTTAGGGGGAGCGGCGAGTCGATAAAAGGCGCAATATGATATATATATATATATATATATATATATATATATATATATATATATATATATATATATATATATATATATATATATATATATATATATATATATATATATATATATATATATATATATATATATGACAAATGCTACACTTGTAAATTATGATCTTCTTTCTTCTTCTTCTTCTTCGTTCTTAATTTTTAGTGTTGGAAGGGATCGAGCCTTATCAAGTTATCTGCCAGAGGGTTTGAACTCGAGACTTTTTCGAATTTATCAACCATGAGCTTTTTCCCGACTCGATAACGCCTCCATCACAATTAAGGATACGTGTCAACTGGTTATACGCCATTGAGGCCATTGACTACGATTTCAGCCTGCTTTTCTTTTTGAATTTGCTTTCATCCATAGCATTTGTCCAACCAAGAACAAAATACAAGGCAGCAGTTATTTGATTTTGAAGTTTTCTCTCCTAGAAGAGTGGCTGTTCCCAGCTAACGAGCCTCATCTACCCGGGTAAATTATGATCAATCCGTGGGTGGTTGACGGTCCATATCCAGTAGGAACAACGCAAACAGCAGATAAATCTATACACATGTTTAAGTGGTTGACATTGTGACGAAAAAGCACCTCACTCTTGCATGGCACTGAGCTAGGCGCCGAGAAGTAAGCCAAGCGTATACTTGCGATAATATTTTTAAAATGTTGATATTTAGGCGACATAACATGGCAGTTTTAATTTCGTAGTTTCTGTTAGGTGAGTCTGTTTGCCGTTGTGTATTTTTTTATTTTACTTTATGAAACTTGTTTTAAATTTTATTTAATTAATCTACGAAAAAAGGCGCAACTATCCTTAAAATAATCGGGGGAGGGGTGGCAGTGGAGAAGGCAGAGGACAGAGAGGAATGGAGAAAGGTGATCAAAAAGACAGCAGTGGTACCCGAACATCCAAGATTATGGAAAAGGAGGGTAAATAATGTGTGCATAAAGCTGCCAGTGGTCTCTTGTCAGTATGTGCCAAATGTCTGTCTTAAGTCCGGAATTATGAACAAAGTCGAATCAGTGAAGTGATCTGGAAGAAGATATCAAGAGGATTGGATTCGCCCGTAGACGGTTCGAGAGACTAGCCCAGGACAGCGATGCATGGAAAGCTTTTGTTGGCGGCCTATGTCCCCGTAGGGACGACCATTTCTTCCAGACTTTTTACTCTGTGGGGGGGGGGGGGGCATGTGATATTTTCGGGGGGGGGGGGGGGACAACAACATATATAAATTCCATTTCGTTCTAGGCCTACTAGATCTACATCATAATTAAACAGATTTTATAGATGCTTGGTGATATCATGGCTTGTGTGTGTTTTGAAAACTAAATAGAATTTTTAAAAATAGGTCAACCTAGTTACGCCATGTCATATATTTAAAATGCCTTTTAACTGCTATTCCTTCCTTTCTATCTCTCCTATCTGGATTTTTTTTTTTTAAAAAAACGTTCAGCTGAGAAAATAACTTGAAATGATAGTTCCGTCTCTATGACTTGGTGACACGCGTCACTTGCATTAGGCTATAGCCCAGATTCTAAAGCAGGGGTCTCCAAACTTTTCAGTCCGAGGGCCGCATTACCCATCAAATTTCAGTTCGGGGGCCAGTTTCTTCCAGGCATGTCTTTGATTTTTCTGGGCAAAGTTCCTCAGCCATCACCAACAGACGATGTTTCCTTGGACAAAAAAAATCTCCGCGGGCCGGATGAGAGGACTTCGCGGGCCGCATCCGGCCCGCGGGCCGTAGTTTGGAGACCCCTGTTCTAAAGCATGAACGGTAAAAAAGCGTCGTAGATAGGCACCTTCATTTAACAACAGGTTAGTACAAACGCCGCTCACATAGACACATTCATTTCACCTTCATTATTTTAGGTATGCATCACTGACTTTCTTCTTGTTTCAATTTTTTTTCCGAAATAAATTATAGCACCATTGCTCTAAAAAAAAATGCCTCTTGGGCGGAGCGGCAGCTGCTAACTTCGGTCAAGAAAAAGTCATGCCTACGTCATAATTTCAGGCTTTACGGGAGAGAAGCTAGGAATAAATAGTGCAACATAAAAATTGAATTTAAAATATTTTAGATCTAGAAATCTAGAACTAGGCCAACAAAGTAACTCTCTGTAATTCTATGGAATTAAAGTTTAAAGTTGACCATGGCAATTTTTTTTTTTTTTTTTGCGCACCGGAAATAGAACTTGAGTAAACGAAAGTGAAACAAGAATTTTAAATCGAAATAGATCTAGATATCTAGATCTAGAGAAGTAAGCAAAGTTGAAAGTACTTTGATCTAGATCTAGATTCTAGATCAAGAATTAAGTAGAGTCTCAGTCTTAGTCTAAGGTAGTCTAGATCTAGTAGTGTGAGTTGTAAAGTTGCGTCTCCATGATTATCTTTACTTAAACTTAATTCTATAAACTATACTATAATATAACTATAGGCATAGGGCATAGGCCCCCCCCCCCCTAATCTATTCTATAAAAAACTAGGATGATTTTACTTTTTAGATACCGATGACCGATAATTATTAGGCCGATTCTAGTCGGAATAAGATACGCATGCGATACGCATGCGCAATGGAGAGAATCTACGACCTGCCTTAGCGGCGATGTTTTCGATGGTACTGCGCATGCGTGTGTTTACAACCGCAGAACCCTAATACCAACCCTAATCCTATCCTTAACCCTATCCCTAATCCTATCCCTAATCCTAACCCTAGCCCTAATCCTATCCCTAACCCTAGCCCTAATCCTATCCCTATCCCTAATCCTACCCCTAACCCTCATTCTAGCCCTAACTCTAGCCATAGGTCACTGCGCATGCGCAGAACTATCTTTTGCCGAAAAATCTTATTCCGAGTAGACACTTCGTAATTATTAATAGACTCTTCCATAAAATAGGTGTGTTGTGTTGTTAGTAGTATTGTAATCTCGACTAATTTTATGGTTATAAATTAGGGTTAGGCGTATGTGTATGGTAGGTCTAGGGGTGGGCTTAGGGTTAGCATTGACATTAGCCAGCCATGTCTGTATGTACTAAGTATGTAGTACTATGTAGTAAGTAACTACCGGTATAAAAATTCTCCCAAAAACTATAAAAAGTAAAAATAAAAAAGTAGGTAATCTATCGTTTTAGAAATTTAGTAATAGTTAGTACGTAAAATCGCCCGCGACTAGTAATGTGAAAAACAGGTAACTCCTTGAATTTTAATCTTTATTGCACATTTTGAGGAGGATTTCGGATTTATGCTTTGAAAAATACAAAAAATTTTCCTTGTTTCATTTATGTAGGTAGGCCTACCTGTTTTTAAACAATTGAATTAAAACTTTACTTTTAATTTTAAGTAATAAATGTAGACTAGCGATGTTTCCAACAGATGCAACCACCATGCTCATTTACAATAGCAGCCATCTTGTTTAAGTTTTTTTTTTGGTAAACTTATAACCCGAGATGCCACTCTATTTTACAAATGGCTGCTGTTTATATAGCAAATCTTGCTCGCAAACACTGATGTTTAAATTTAAATTAAATTCTGGCCTATATTGATATATTTAGCCATTGATTTAGGTTTATTATTCATTTATCTATAATATTTGACAATAAATATATCACAATATACTAGATTTATATACTTCTATTAAAGCCTTTACAATGAGGTAACTTTTTAGTACATTACTAGCTGCAGGCAATTTTACGTACCTAAAACGATAGATTACCTTTATTAATAATTTAATAATTATAATTATTAAGCCAGACGGGCAGGCCTACTAACTGATTGACTGTTTTTTAACTGTAGACTGTAGACTAGTATAATAAGATAGACTCTAGAGCAGTGTTTCTTCCAGACTTGTTTCTCCGAGGGGGGGGTGGGGGGGGGCGTGCACTGTTAAAAGTATATATTTTCTATATAAATTTCATTACGTTCGGTAGATTTTCTTCGGGGGAGGGCATAGACCCCCCCCCCCCCCCCGAAGAGATGCCTGGAAGAAACTCTGTTGTAGAGTACTGTAGACTAGTGTAGAGGTGTAGAATAGAAGCAGGACGTAGATTCTGTCTGTTGAGATCTAGATTCTAGGACAGATAATCAGTATTAATCAGATAAGTACAATCTAATCTAGAAGCTAGATCTACTGATCTAGTTCTAGATCTACTTCATTTTTAGATTTGTAATTTGAGTTTTAGAACTTTATGTTTGTCAATGACACTGTATTCTTTATTATTATTCAGTTTTAAACTTTCATTAACATATTTTAAGCCCCTACTAGTTACTACTCAGACAGGCCAAGTGCTGCCAAGTAGTAAGTAGGGTTCTGGTTAATTAGGTTCCAGATAAATTAGGCTACCATTTTTGTTTTGATTTTAGTTCCAGATAAACTTCCGCTATCGGTTCAAAGTTTAGATTTAATTTGAAGTGGAGATTTTTGTTTTGGATTAGAAAAAAAAACCAAAAACATTATCAGCCTATTGCTCTTTGTATTGCCCCTCAGCGGGCCAATTATCTAATTTAAATAATAATTTTGTAAGCTATTTAAATTTTCTTACTACAGGAAAACCATGTCTCACAATGAGCTAGAAATTCTGGCTGATACAGATGAAGCCAATTTACCATCTAGGATGGAATGTGAAGAAAGATGCCAGACTTTTGCAGAAATAACCAACACAGACACGGCGTTGGCCATGTATTACCTTCAGGACAGAGATTGGGATGTGCAGGTAGTTTTTGTGTTGGACATGAAGATGTAATTGGAATGTTGAAATTGTTACTGTTTGTGACATCTGATACTGTTAGTATTGAAATGTTGAAATAGTTACAGTTTGTGACATGAGATGCTGTTTTGCATCCTTACAATAGTTACAGTTTGTGACACATGAAGCTATATTGAATGACGTTCAAAAAATAGTTACAGTTTGTGACCTGTGATGCTGTATTGGAATGTGGAAATAGTTACAGTTTGTGACATATGACATTCACATAGAAATGTTGAAATAGTTACAATTTGTGACCTGTGATACTGTATTGCATTGTTACAATAGTTACAGTTTGTGACACATGAAGCTATATTGAATATTGAGGCAGTTAGAGTTTCTGACATGTAACATTCTATAGGATTATTGAAATAGTTACAGTTTGTGACCTGTTATATTCTATAGGATTATTGAAGTAGTTACATTTTGTGACATGTGATGCCATTTTGAAATGTTGATGCAGTTACTGTTTGTGAGTCTATTTGATGCATCAATAGAATCTCAAGAACTAGAGGTTATTACATTTTGTGACCCATGAAGTAGCTAATGTTTGGTTTTATTGAACATCTGTGTCACAGTTATCTCTCCCTACTTAACACTTCCTAAGCTTCTGAGCTCTACAGTAAGTGAAGCCCATATATATGGTAATGCATACTAAAACTATTGTGCTTTATTAAAAAAACATTTTTTTTTGCCTCTACTAAGCTGCATAGTTTTAAAAAATTCTGTGCCAACCCCAATGACTAATTCAGTGATTCAATTCTACTTTTTAAGTAGTGTAGTTTTCAAATCTTCAGTTACCTCAGTAATTGTATGCAGGTGTAACTCAATGTTTTATGACACATAAAATTAGTATTAGGTTTGCAAATCTATCTTATAAACTTTACAAAGACTTGTAGTGATGTAGGCCTATATATAATATTTCACTATTGTAGCTAAATTCTACATAGACCTGTAATGGTGTATATACTATATTTCACTATTGTAGTTGTTGCTTTGTTTTGATGTTTAAAAAGGTCATACCCACTAAGATAAAAGATCATACCGACTAAGATAAAAAGATCATACCCACTTAAAATCATACCCACTAAGATAAAAAGATCATACCCACTGAGATAAAAGATCACACCCACTTAAAATCATACCCACTAAGATAAAAGATCACACCCACTAAGATATAAGATCACACCCACTTAAAATCATACCCATAAAGATAAAAAGATCATACCCACTAAGATAAAAGATCACACCCACTTAAAATCATACCCACTAAGATAAAAAGATCATACCCACTGAGATAAAAAGAACATACCCACTTAAATAAAAAGATCATACCCACTTAGATAAAAGATCATACCCACTAAGATAAAAAGATCATACCCACTAAGATAAAAGATCATACCCACTAAGATAAAAGATCATACCCACTTAAGATCATACCCACTAAGATAAAAGATCATACCCACTTAAGATCATACCCACTAAGATAAAAGATCATACCCACTAAGATAAAAGATCACACCCACTAAGATAAAAGATCATAACCACTAAGATAAAAGATCACACCCACCTAGATAAAAGATCACACCCACTTAGATAAAAGATCACACCCACCTAGATAAAAGATCACACCCACCTAGATAAAAGATCATACCCACCTAGATAAAAGATCATACCCACCTAGATAAAAGATCATACCCACCTAGATAAAAGATCACACCCACCTAGATAAAAGATCATACCCACACAGAATATTATATTATTTCCGTCAGTGCAAGTCCCAACCCAACCACTCCCAACCCAACCACTCCCCTCACCAGCGTCTCTCCACCATCCACCCCCATACACCTACCTTTAAACTCAATATGTCATCAAAACCTGTAAACTGCCTGTACGTCTCATGTAACACTGATACCATGCTGATGTTGTTCAACCACTACATTAGCACAGCATTAAGGGAATTTGTAAATAGTTTAATTACACTGGCTTCAAGCTTCATTGATATACGATACATAATTACCTCATTAATGGACAAGAGCCAGCATGGTATGCCTATACTACATCAATAATTCTATATGAGTTCTATGTATATCAATCTATATTAGGCTTCATATTTTAAAACATTTTGTTTTAAAAGGATTGTAATTTTTTTCAATTACATTTTTTCTCAGTAATTTTATAGACGCTTGGTTAAAAAAGATATTAAGTTGTTTTTTTTTAAGTATTATAGCAATGTTAATATGTTGTAGTATTTCTTATAAATAATTTTTTTTTAAATTCAAAGTTCATCAAAACTTAATGTACATTGAGTTTAGTCTGACTACATTTCATAACATTGTTTCAAAAAGCAGCAGTTTTTAAGCAGCAAGTTGATTTCTGTAGTTTTAATTTTAAACTAGATCTAAATAGTAATAGAACAAAACATTTTTTCTTAATAATAATAAAACATAACATTTTAAAACTAAATAATAATGGAATAAAATATTTAAAAAATAAATAATAATAGACTGAAACATTTAAAACTAAATAATGATTGAATAATAGAACAAAACTATTTTAAAATAAATAGGCCTAATAATAGAATTAAACATTTAAAACAAAATAACACTGAAAAAACAAAGTTAAAACTAAACTGTAATAAATGGAACAAAAGATCGTAAGACTACTTATGAAAGAAATCATGAATATTTGATTTACCACGTGTGGTTTATAAAGTAGTTCAAGCACTAACTCTAAGTGTGAATGTAGGCTAACATGTAGGCACAAATTTATTCATTTTTTTTATTGTCTAGTTATTCAGTAATTTTCCCTTGTCGGTCAGTGAGATAAGGGTTTACCAAAATTATCCTCAACTTTTGTTAGTTGCAAGATCATCACTGTCTGTAATACTTGACTTATCAATACTTGTTGACCTATCAATACTTGTTGACTTATTCAATACTTGTTGACTTGCCAGCACTTACTGACTTGTCACTACATATTGTCTTGAGTGATCTACTCTTATAAATTTACTGGGAGTCACCTATTTCTGATGGGGGTGGGGAGAGAAGGGTAAACATGTGTATGTGTGTATTAATATAAATATTTATATGTATATACATACATATATATACAATACAAATAAATGCAGCCTGCATATATATATATATATATATATATATATATATATATATATATATATATATATATATATATATATATATATATATATATATATATATATATATATATATATATATATATATATATATATATATATATATATATATATATATATATATATATATATATATATATATATATATATATATATATATATATATATATATATATATATATATGTAGAATATAAGTGTGTATTTGTTTATATGTGCATGTATTTATTTATATATATATATATATATATATATATATATATATATATATATATATATATATATAAATATATATTTATATATATATATATATATATATATATATATATAAATATATATTTATATATATGAATGCAATCACCCTAAATATATATTTTTATATATGAATGAAATCACCCTATCTACCCTATGTATAAATATTATCACCCTATTTGTTCATGGTTATCTATTATTAGAAATACTTATAGCATTATTCAATGATGCAGCAGTAGTGTGTGCTAATGACACATTAATCTCAGCAAGAGTTTATAGACTTAGCAGCAGATTTCAGAGATTGTGTTAGGATTAGACACTGCATAACTGAGCTCATTATTTTTCAGAGAGCAGTCGATGATTATTTCAATGCAAATAGAGAAGACACAGGCACAGTGAAGAAGAGTCAGATATCTTCAGCGTCATTAACAGACCCCAGTCGGTCCACGTCATTAAAAGACTCAAGTGTATCCACGTCGTTGAAAGACTCAAGTGTATCCACGTCATTGAAAGACCCCAGTGTATCCGCGTCATTGAAAGACTCAAGTGTATCCACGTCATTGAAAGACTCAAGTGTATCCACGTCATTAAAAGAGTATATTGGATCCGGATCAGATGGGAGTAAGGCTTGCCTAACCACATGGTGAGTCGCCATCATCATGGTGGTCTAATTAATTTGGAGTCAACACCTGCATGGTGGTTTAATTAATTGGGAGTCAGCATCTACATGGTGGTCTAATTAATTAGGAGTCATCTTCATAGTGGTCTAATTAATTAGGAGTCATCATCTACATGGTGGTCTAATTAATTGGGAGTCAGCATCTACATGATGGTCTAATTTATTGGGAGTCAGAATCTACCATGTGGCCTAATTAATTGGGAGTCATCATCATAGTGGTCTAATTAATTGGGGGTCATCATCATAGTGTTCTAATTAATTGGGGGTCATCATCATAGTGGTCTAATTAATTAGGAGTCAACACCTACATGGTGGTCTAATTAATTGGGATGTAAACACCTACATGGTAGTTTAATTAATTGGGAGTCATTTTCATAGTGGCCTAATTAATTGGGAGTCAGCATCTACATGGTGGTCTAATTAATTGGGATGTAAACACCTACATGGTGGTCTAATTAATTGGGAGTCATTTTCATAGTGGCCTAATTAATTGGGAGTCAGCATCTACATGGTGGTCTAACTAATTGGGGAGTCTGCAGTTTACTACCTCATGGCTAAAATATGCTTTTTCTTTTGTTTAAAATATTTTTAAAAAAGTATTTGTTGTTGGTTCTGTTTGTACAAATCAATTTGAAAAAGAAAAATTAGGGAGTCATCCATTGATGAAGTTATTCTTTTTCAATAATTTTTACAACTTCCATATCCCCACCCTCAAATAGAAGCTTATCCCTTAAAAAAAAACAGACCACTTCTTTAAAATAACCAAAATAGAATTTTTTACATTATTTGTTTTCATTCGCAAATCACAAGCAAAACAACATGCATTGCTTTCTTTTTTTCTTTTTTTTGCAAAGGTAAAGAAAGACTAGTTTATAAAATAAAAATATAACAATAAATTTTTAAAAGTTAAAAAAAAAAACCCATTGAAAATGATCCCGGACTTACTGTATTTGTCTGGGATGTGTTGAGAGAGCGCTGTTGTTTCTGTAACCATCCCACGCAGCACCACCAGGCATCTGTCTTGTAGGTACCACAATATCAGAGGTCTAACTGTTAGTAGGTGGCTGGGAGAAGTGCAAGAGATCTGGGGGTTTAGATAGGGATTGGGTAATGACAAGAGTTTTTTGGTAGTGATGTGTGGTACTTGTAGGCACCACAATAGCAGAGGTTGTAGGGAATCCCTTCCAACACTAAAATTAAGAAGAAAGAAGGTAGTCAACCTGGTTATTCAGTAGTTAACATGGTTATTTGGTAGTTAACATGGTCATTTGGTAGTTAACATGGTCATTTGGTAGTTAACGGTTATTTCGTAGCCATTATTATTTTGTTTTTAACTTGTTTGTTTTGTAGTTTACATGATTAGTTGGTAGTTAACACTGCTCTTTGTTACTTAAGATTATTTTGGTCTTCACTTTTTAATTTGGTAGTTAACATGATTATTTGGTAGTTATGATTGTTTTTATTTTTATCTTTGTTATTCTGTAGTTAGCATGTCTTTTTGCTAGTCATGATTATTTTGGTTTGAACTTGGGCATTAGGTAGTTAACATTGTAAATAAATTGTTATTTTCTAGTTTCTTTTAGCTATTGAGGTTAAATGGTAGTTACATAGTAGTTATGTGGTAGTTTATCTATTAGACAGTTGCTAGGCAATTTTATTTTACATTTGCTAGTAAGCTTAGTCCTGAATAAATCATAGTCTATAGAACAGTTTATTCAAACAGAAGAAGAAAATAATTTACCTTTTGTGTAAGATCATTCAGGAATTGAACACAATATAGCTGCCACAGTTAATTGCATGAATCCATTCCTTATAAGGTCGCTGGTATCACATGAAATAGAACCCAATAACGCTATTAAAAGTTGAATCATATACAAATTAATTTCATTCTGTTTTAAAATAGTTTCCCCCTAATACTGAAGTCTAAGAAATCAGCTGTCTAGAGAAGAATAAAAAAAACGACAGCTAGTAATTGAAGCATTCTGTTTGTGAAGTTGTTCACAAACCTGTCCAGGTAATGAACAAACCTGTCCAGGTAATAAATACCATTTCTGTTAATGGTGTCACAGGTGGCCAGGTAATCTAATAGGATTGTGCCTGCTCACGCTGCAATCTTAATTTAGCTTGGGCTGAGTGGTAGTAAATCAGTTCCATCTGCCTTATACAATTTATTATATTTTTTTAGCTTATTAGTATAAGTCCGCCTAGTGTGTCTTAAGCTGTGTGCTGATCTTAGAATAATTGTGGCTCTTAGGTGGTAGAATCTATTATATTTTTTTTATTAATGATGTCATGTCATTTTCATCATGTTTCTCTCCCCCCCCCCCCCCCACTGATTCTCCCACCCTCATTCCATCATCATTATCACAAGAAGCTGGACACTACCCCCAGGCTCCACTACCAGACAACACCCACCCCCCTAAAATAATGCCTCGATCTCCGACCCCGCCCCTCTTACTTGTTCTGTATTATATTACAGTTGACTTCACTTTCGTTCTTTTAAAGAGTTAAAAATCTAAACTAGATCACACTTCCTGAGCGCCCCCCAATCACAAACAACATTGGTGGATTACCTAAATAGCATTTTAATTTTCATTGAAATAAGGGATAAAATATATTTTAAATAGTTATGGCCATGATCTTATTTACTTATTTTGCTGATATATTTTTTATTAAAAATAGCTTTAAGTTTGATCTAAAAGACTAAATCAATTTCAATGTTATGTATTAATTAAAGCAAATTATTTGAACAAAAAATTTTGTAGCCCACCATTACTACAGCCCCAAAGTGAAAACCGAATCAGAATTTTATCTTGGAACATTGACGGTCTAGACAGAGCCAACCTACAGTCTAGAACAGAAGGGGTGTGCAGTGTATTGTTACTGTAGGTATATCTTCTTTAACTTTCTGTATTGTTATTCTAGCTATATCTTCTTTCAAGCTGTGTGTTGTTACTGTAGGTATATTTGCTTTAACTCTGTATTGTTACTGTAGGTATTCCTTCTTTAACTCTGTGTTATAGTTTATGTATTCTATTGGGTTGACTAAAATTTCTAGAGTGCTGATATTGTTTGCATACAACTCTTTTTATTCTACTGTTGTTGTTAAAATTTATTCTTAACCTTTGTAACAATGCACACTCCCAGCTTCATTAAAATTTGGTATCACTCACTTTACATGCTTTCATCTTCATCATGTGTTAAGAGAAAACCCAGAAGTCATTTTCCTCCAGGAAGTGGTTGATGACAGTCTGAAGATCCTCAAGGCCAAGTGTGTCAACTTTCATTTCTTCCTGGGGGCAGAGGATAAGATGCGTGTCCCAGTAAGTGTGGGGGTGTGTTTATGTGTGTTTGAAGGTATGTGTGGGTGTGTTTGTATTTGTAATGACTAACTTTTAATCTTAGACTTATGTATCTTTCATTTTATTTGTTCTCCATTATTTGGGGGAGGGGTGGATTCATGGGAGACAATTCACATTTTCATAAATTGTTCACAAGTAGACTCCCTTTTGCTTCATGTAGGTAAGTTTACAAAACGCTGAATTTTATTTTAAACAATCAGGTTTTTAAAGATACTTTGGTATATCAAGGGAGTGACAAAATATGTTAAGAATTTTCACATTTTATTAAAAATTATCAATAGTCAGCAACCCATTACATTTTTGACACCTACTAGTCTTTCTATAACTTTATATGCTACCTGCACCCACTTTTGTTTTCATTTTTTATTCTGTATTTTCTGCATTTAAAAAATACATTTTAGAACCAGCCATCTGACAACTTAAAATATTGTAATATTCTTGTACAAAACAATGTTTGGTTTGTTGGCATATTCAACATACAATTTATGATAATTTTTTACAGGGGGCATATGATACCATAGGCAACACAAGACTACACACAGTCGATACTGTTTAGGATAATCTTTGGCATAGAGCGTATGATACCATTAGTCAACACAGAACTACACACAGTCCATACAGTCTATGATAATCTTTGGCACAGAGCGTATGATACCATAAGTCAATAAGGGGTCAGCGTGGTCGAGTCGGTAAAGCTCATGGTTGCTAAACCGAAAAGTCTCAAGTTTGAACCCTCGGGCAGATGAGGCTCGTTAGCTGGGGACAGCCACTCTTCTAGGAGAGACAACTCCAAAATCAAACAACTGCTGCGTTGTAGTTTGTTCTTGGTTGGACAAAGGCTATGGAAGCAAATCCAAAAAGAAAAGCAGGCTGAAATCGGAGTCAATGGCCTCAATGGCGCATAACCAGTTGACACGTAATCCTTAATTGTGATGGAAGCATGGTCGAGTCGGCAAAAGCTCATGGTTGATAAATTCGAAAAAAGTCTCGAGTTCAAACCCTCTGGCAGATAAGGGTTGATCCCTCCCAACACTAAAAATTAAGAACGAAGAAGAAGAAGAAGAATACAGCACTTCATACAGTCTATGATAATCTTTTGCAGGGAGCATACTATACTGCGATGCTACTACGTGAAGATGTCGTCCAAGTTGATTGTGCACAAATTGCTGAGTTCCCCAAAAGTCTGATGGACAGAACTCTTTTAGAAGTCCAGGTACCAATATATATATTACCTTTGTGTTACCTCCCTTTATATCTCCATAGTCCAGGTACCAATATATATTACCTTTGTGTTACCTTCCTTTATATCTCCATAGTCCAGGTACCAAGATACATTCCTTTTGTGTTGGTGTTGTCTCCCTTTATTTCCCTATTTTTATCTATATATATAATTCTCCTCTTCGAGCCGTTAGAAAACAAGCTGTAAACGCGCTCCCTACCTCCCCACCCCTACATGGTTTTAGTGAGCTGTGTTCACTCTAAATGTTTACAAGCAGAGCCAACGATTTTAAACGTAGGGGAGGGGGGGGGGTTATGGTCCTTAACGAGCTACTTATAGTGTTTTAAAGAAATATTTTCAGTGTCAGCGTTGGTACTGTCGAATTCACAAATTATGAATTATTGAAAATTAGAAACAACTAAATAGCGGCGTATGTTATGCCGCGGGCCGGCTCGTTTTTTTTAAAATACATATTTAAATACTATAAAGAAAAAAGACCCAATATGTTAAAGAAAAACTAACTCACAAGAACAATGTATTTTAACTTGTATCCCATATTAAAATATAGCTAATAAATCTATATTTTCCAGCTATATATGTGTTCAAGCTATTGCTTTACAAATAGGTATTAATATAATTGTACCTTGATTTTAATTAGAAATGTTTTCAACAGCATTAATCTAACTGGTATCATTGTTTAATGTTTTACAATCTTATTTACATCAGTTTTTGTTTTTCTTTTAAATTTCAATCATTATATATTTTGGTATCTTTTTTTTCTAGCCTTCTTGAAATTTTAAATCCCCACTTTACCGAGAATGATTTTAAGCCATGAGATTTTAAACTGAATTACTTTATGCCACATGTAATTTAAATGTTGCCCAATGTTTTTTTTTCATTATGTGAAAGTGCAAGGTCAAGGGTATCCCAATGACCTTGATGACCAGCCATCTTGAGAGTACAGCTGAGTACAGTGAGGAGAGGGTGAGGCAACTGAGGATGGCATTCAAGCGCATGAACTCTCTATCAGCTGAGCAGACTATTATCTTTGGTGGTGACCTTAATCTCCGCGACAAGGAAGTAAGTTTTTACTCATAATTTTTCTAAAGCTTCTGTGCAAAAATGTTCTATTGATGTCATTTTAAACACTTAGGTTTGAAGAAGTTTTGTTAGTGTTTTTCTGAAATTAAGTTTCATAGAATTACACTGTTGATCTTTAAAATAAATATTTGTCTCAAGAAGTATGAATGATAAGGTTTTATCCTCGGAAACAAAGCTTGATCATTGTTTAATCTTTGTTAAAAATACTATGATATTAAAAACTCACATTTGCAGGCAAAAAAATGATAAATGTTTTGTAAATTATTTAACGTAAAGAACATTTCAGTGAATTTGATGTATAAAGCATTTTGAAATTTTATGTTTATTAGAAAGTTGTGTACAGGCTTCAGATATTTGAACAGCAAATAGCTACTAAATATTTGAACTGGTTAAATTATTCTAAAATTTTCATTGCTTTTTTTAGTCAAATATTAGAATAAGTTACTGGTTTCTTGTAATGTTTTAATCAGACATTCAATCAGTTGAAATGCATGTTGTAATATTGTAATTAAATATTTAATCAGGTGGTTGGCCTGTTGTAATACTTTGATTAAATATTTGAACAGTTGTAACATTTTAATAAAGTATTCAATCAGGTGATATACCTGTTGTAAAATTTTGATAAAGTATTTAATCAGGTGAAAGGCCTATTGTAATACTTAAATTAAATATTTAATCAGGTGAAATGTCTGTTGTAATTGTTTAAATCAGATATTTTTACTGGTGAAAACCCTGTTGTAATACTTAAATTAAATATTTAATCAGGTGAAATGTTGGTTGTTATAATTAAATCAGATATTTTTACAGGTGAAAACCCTGTTGTAATACTTAAATTAAATATTTAATCAGGTGAAATGTCTGTTGTAATTGTTTAAATCAGATATTTTTACTGGTGAAAACCCTGTTGTAATACTTAAATTAAATATTTAATCAGGTGAAATGTTGGTTGTTATAATTAAATCAGATATTTTTACAGGTGAAAACCCTGTTGTAATACTTAAATTAAATATTTAATCAGGTGAAATGTTGGTTGTTATAATTAAATCAGATATTTTTACAGGTGAAAACCCTGTTGTAATACTTAAATTAAATATTTAATCAGGTGAAAGGCCTGTTGTAATACTTTGATTAAATATTTGAACAGATGTAATATTTAAATAAAGTATTTTATCAGGTGATATACCTGTTGTAAAATTTTGATAAAGTATTTAATCAGGTGAAAGGCCTATTGTAATACTTAAATTAAATATTTAATCAGGTGAAATGTTGGTTGTTATAATTAAATCAGATATTTTTACTGGTGAAAACCCTGTTGTAATACTTAAATTAAATATTTAATCAGGTGAAATGTTGGTTGTTATAATTAAATCAGATATTTTTACAGGTGAAAACCCTGTTGTAATACTTAAATTAAATATTTAATCAGGTGAAATGTCTGTTGTAATTGTTTTAATCAGATATTTTTACTGGTGAAAACCCTGTTGTAATACTTAAATTAAATATTTAATCAGGTGAAAAAATGTATATAATACTTTGATTAAATATTCAATCAAGTGAAATGTCTGTTGTAATATTAAAATCAAATATTTTTACTGGTGAAAACCCTGTTGTAATACTGTAATCAAATATTTAATCAGGTGAAAGGCCTCAACACCCCACTGGATATCCGCGACATCTGGGAAATTACAGGCAAGCGCCAGGAGGCCAAGTTCACCTGGGACCTGACCATCAACGACAACAAGCAACTGGGCGGCAGGTTCCAGCCGCGCTGTCGCTTTGACCGCCTGTATATCAAGCACGGGAAAACTGCGGCGGTCAAGCCCGTGTACTTTGAGCTGGTTGGCATCCAGAGGCTGGCGTCCTGTCATAGGTTTCCTAGTGACCACTGGGGGATCATGGCCCACTTTGATGTTCTAAACAAATCGTGAGAGGTTTTCAAATGTTTTCAAGTAAAAGCAGAAGCGTTGTTTTTGTTATAATGGCCTGTGAAACTTGTACATTAATGAAACATACATTTTTGTTGAAAAATATTCCGACAGGAATGCTAGGGTAAAGGTAATTGTTTCAGGTTATAAATACATGGCTGAAATGTGCTGCAGCTGAAGCACTTAATGTGCTATGGCTGAAGCACTTAGAATAAAGTGCAATTGCTGATGCACTTAGATTAAAGTGCTATGATTGAAAATGCTATTGCTGAAGCACTTAAAAGTGCTATGGCTGAAGCACTTAGATTAAAGTGCTATGATTGAAAGTGCTATTGCTGAAGCACTTAAAAGTGCTATGGCTGAAGCACTTAGAATAAAGTGCTATTGCTGGAGCACATTGGTTAAAGTGCTATGGCTGAAGTAGTGCGATTTAAATGCTACAGTTTAGTAGATTAAAGTACTACTCCTAAAGGACTGAACTTTAAAAAAACAATATCTTGAAAATAATGTTCATTAACTGATGTCAAATACTGTATATTTTTTATAAGTATTATTTTCTAACCATGCATTTATGTTTTTTTTTTATTTTATAAAATGTATTGTTGAATTTATTCATCACAGAATATTGTTACACATTATTTCAGCACTATCAATATGAGAAATCCCTCAGTTAACTTTTATGTTTGAAGCTATTCTCCAAAGTATGAACAGTTAGATAATATGTAAATACTTTTGATTAAGTTTTTTTTAAATGTCTTAAGTAACTAATTTTAATTTTTGTTAATATTATATTTGTGAAACACGCATTCAAGTACAATGTAAAGTAATCATCTTCACATCTAAAGTTTACTAGATATTAAATTAATTTTTATAGGTATGCTGCGCATCTTGATTTGTTTCTTTTTAATAGGAACATATATTCATTATCATGTCCACCTTATATATGTTCACTATCCATATACAATTATGGGATGGCATGGTCTAGAGGTAGAGAGCTAGACTACTAACCCAAAAGTCCCGAGTTCGAATCCGGGTTCAAGTCAGTAGCATGTCCGTGAGTCCACCCAGCTCTGATGGGTACCTAACTCACGTTAGGGAATCAAAGGCAGATGTGCAAAGTGCTGACCACACTATCCCTTCATATGCTGAGGTCTCTGAAGCAGATGAACTCTACTTCATCTGCCCCATATGTCTTGGGCTTGAACAGGAAAAGATGATGATCCAAATGGAAAATATATACAATATATTTTATTATATTTATAGAGATAAAAGTACCACTGATGACATAATTGCCTTCTCAACCCCCCCCCCTCCCTCCCTAGTCTGTAACACAGGTGGATTTATGGGTACATGGGATATTGACAGATAGATCGATAGACAGAAAGATGGAGATGTTGTGTGTATATATATTATTCATAATTTCATCTTCCCCCCTCCCTCCTCACACGCAATAGCCCAAAGTTAAAATTACATGTGCACTCATAGATACTCCACTCATCCTAACTAGTTTGCCACTATAGTAGCCACATAAACTTGCTTAACAAAAATATAGGAATCTTTTGAAAGAGACCACCTGACCTATTGAGCAGGCAGGGATACTGTCCACCCTGTCAGTGCCAGTGTCCATCATGTCATTGTCAGTGGTAGTGTCCACCCTGTCAGTGATACTGTCCACCCTGTCAGTGGTAGTGTCCACCCTGTCAGTGGTAGTGTCCACCCTGTCAGTGCCAGTGGTAGTGCCCACCCTGTCATTGTCATTAGTAGCGTCTACCCTGTCAGTGGTAGTGTCCCCCTGTCATTGTCAGTGGTAGTGTCCACCCTGTTATTGTCATTGGTAGTGTCCATCCTGTCAGTGGTAGTGTCCACCTTGTCAGTGGTAGTGTCCACCCTGTCATTGTCAGTGGTAGTGTCCACCCTGTTATTGTCATTGGTAGTGTCCATCCTGTCAGTGGTAGTGTCCACCTTGTCAGTGGTAGTGTCCACCCTGTCATTGTCAGTGGTAGTGTCCACCCTGTCATTGTCAGTGGTAATGTCCACCCTGTCATTGTCAGTGGTAGTGTCCACCCTGTCAGTGTCAGTGGTACTGTCCACCCTGTCAGTGGTAGTGTCCACTCTGTCAGTGGTAGTGTCCACCCTGTCAGTGTCAGTGGTACTGTCCACCCTGTCAGTGGTAGTGTCCACTCTGTCAGTGGTAGTGTCCACCCTGTCAGTGGTAGTGTCCACCCCAGTCAGTGCCAGTGGTACTGTCCACCCTGTCAGTGCCAGTGGTACTGTCCACCCTGTCAGTGGTACTTTCCACCCCTGTCAGTGCCAGTTGTACTCTTCCCCCAGGTACAGGTAAAGCTGTTTGTTCAGCGGAGCGTAGAAGTGTTGCATGGCCTTGAGCACACCTTGGTGCTTGACCCCCATCAACCGGCTGATGTTTTTGACGGGACCTTTGATGCACATGCTCCTCCAGAAGGTCAGGTTGTAACAGAAGGTCTCGCTGGCCCTGTCGTAGCGCAGGTTTTCAAACCGCGAGTGAACTTTAACCCCGAGAAACTTGTGCAGTTTTGTCATTTCGGTGTCGGGATTTTCAAAGAAACGGTTTTTCTCCATGATTAAAACCTGATCTCGAGGAAAAATGCGAAACAATTCTGAAATGTTTTGAAGGTATTTTCCAAAGTGGGCCAAGGTCAGGTAATCGAGAGTTTGATTCGCTTTGTTTATTATAACTTTGATTAAAGACTCGACGATATTTTTTTCGTCAAGAATGTTCCCTGGGTAGGCCGCCTCCGTTTGATGACGGTATAAAAAGTGAGTATGGTTGTCGAGCAGACGAGAGATGGGGTCGCAGAGAAACACGATGATTTTTAGGGATTCGTTGAAAGCCTTCAGTTTTTCCAAAACAGTCGTGTTGGTGACGTATGAGTAGCCTACGTCAATAGTCACGTGGTGATCTAAAGATGGCGGCATTTGGGAAAGATACCATCGTAATGACCTGTTGCCTGAAACAAATTTATGTTACAAATTTATAAAAAAAAAAAAATTCTAATTTAATTTGCGGTTAATTTTGAAAATGAACTATTTATGTGGTACAATTTTATGTTTATAAACTGAACACAATAATGTTTTAATATGCAAACAACATCATTCGTATAACCCGGCGATTAACGGTTCGGTATTTAGAATAACCACCTAGTAAACAGCGGTGGGATAACTCGTGTAGCAATTCTCTGGTCCCACTCAGTCATGATAGACAACTATCAACTGAGCTGTTTTTGTTAAAATAGATGAGTTACCGTTCCTGGTGCCCACATTTTAACTATGGTGCCTAGACATAATCTATGTTAATATGTATGCCTACAGTTAAATAAAACAGAGCCCTGTCGTTAATTCCCCACCCCCCGTAATAATTTGTTGTCGCCTCATCTAAAAACCATGTGAAATCTTTAGTATATGTAAGAGCAGAATGATGTAGTGATATAATGTGTTATTCTGCACGAAAAAACACAAATAGGCCTAAAATATTTTAGTATTATATTCTAAAGTTATTCGAAAAAAAAAAGTGCAGTGGCGTTTTAAATCGCAGAAGTCACCGTGATACTTTCGATAGAAAAAATCAGTCCTCAGATACCAAAATGTGCACATTCAGCAATTTTTGCTCTTCCAGCCGTATTGCACTGGCTACGTTACTGGTAATTATTCTGTACATCTGACACATTTAATCTACTACCCCCCCCCCTTCTCCCTCCCTATCGCCAATTATACGCACGTGCAAAGAACTGTTTTTAAATGTAGCTCCATTGTTATATTTATGTGCATGCATCTCTGTTGTTCGTGTTTACTACTTAACGTATGTGTGTACAGTAGCGACACAAGGCTGGGGTGCGATCCGCACCGGATGACCCGATTTAGAGGGTGACACCGATGATTTTTTTTTAAATCGTAAAATGTAATAAAAAACAAAAATTTTCTAGTTAAAATAATAAAGTAACTTTGGAGCAATGGCGTCGCTGTGTTGGGTGTCACTCTGTGAGACACCTCTTGGAAGGGATAGTGGGGTGACACCAAACCAAAAAAGGCAAAAAATTATTCAAGAGGGGTGACACACTCAGTAGCCACCCGACCAGTGTTTCTTTCAGGCATCCCTTACTTCAACCTGTGTCCGCTCCCCCCCCCCCCCAGGAAATTTAATCCGCTCCCCCCTCCCGAAAGTTTCAAGCCCACCCCCCCCCCCCCACCCCCGGAGAAAAAAGTCCGAAAGAAACACCGCACCCGAGCTAGAGACGCCACTGTACCGCCCTTTCCTTACTGTGGAAGTACTTCAGGTGCTTGAAGTTCAAGGCCACGTGTGGGTGCGCGGCCAGGGCAGACATGACGATGTTCCCGCCACAGTGGGAGAACCCCACGACCATGACCTTGGGCAGGTGTGGGTGGAGCCTCGGTGGACTGTCGCCATTTTGAAATGTCGCCACCGGAACGTCGTTAGAAAAACCTGAAATAGTCGCATTCAGTAATTGGTTGCATACAGTAAGTGGTCGCATACTGTAATTGGTCGCATACAGTAATTGGTCCATACAGTAATTGGTCCATACAGTAATTGGTAGCATACAGTAATTGGTCGCATACTGTGATTGGTCCATATAGTAATTGGTCGCATACAGTAATTGGTAGCATACAGTAATTGGTCCATACAGTAATTGGTCGCATACTGTGATTGGTCCATATAGTAATTGGTCGCATACAGTAATTGGTAGCATACAGTAATTGGTCCATACAGTAATTGGTCGCATACTGTGATTGGTAGCATACAGTAATTGTTCCATACAGTAATTGGTCCATATAGTAATTGGTCGCATACAGTAATTGGTCCATACAGTAATTGGTCGCATACAGTAATTGGTCCATATAGTAATTGGTCGCATACAGTAATTGGTCCATATAGTAATTGGTCGCATACAGTAATTGGTCCATACTGTAATTGGTCCATACGGTAATTGGTCGCACACTGTAATTGGTCGCTTACAGTAATTGGTCCATATAGTAATTGGTCCATACTGTAATTGGTCCATACTGTAATTGGTCCATACGGTAATTGGTCGCACACTGTAATTGGTCGCTTACAGTAATTGGTCGCATACAGTAATTGGTCGCATACTGTGATTGGTAGCATACAGTAATTGGTCCATACAGTAATTGGTCGCATACTGTGATTGGTCCATACTGTAATTGGTCCATACGGTAATTGGTCGCACACTGTAATTGGTCGCTTACAGTAATTGGTCGCATACAGTAATTTGTCCATACAGTAATTGGCCGCAAACTGTAAAAGGTCGCATACAGTAAAATAACTGTGACATGGAGATTCAGTTTTGGGTGAAGAGGGAGGGGCGGGGTATTTATCTGCAAAATAACTTTAGCACGAAAACAATATTTAGGGAGAGTACCCTACGTATTTTTTATAAACATCGTTTTTTTTTTCCAAAAAAAAAAACACCAAAAATGGAATATTATTTTTGTGAAGGTGGGTGGGGGAGGGGGTAGTCGAAAGAGTCTGAACAGTGACCTCAAGTTTGATTAGGGGGATCTTAATTCTTTATCACGATATCTCAAGAGGGGAGGGTAAACAGTAACACCGTGACTTCTTTAATGGACGAACCCCCCACCCCCACCCTTTTTATATTTTTTTTTCAGTAAACAAAAATTCATTTAATAAAATAAATATCGTGATATTGCGTCACAATGAACTTAACCCTCCACCTTTTTTTCTCCCACCAACTCACGCGCGATAACACTAATATACCAACAAACGTGAAACCCCTCTCACTATGCACGTGACGTCATTTATGAACGGCCATTAACGTCTGATCAGTATATCACGTGACTCTGTAGTTATCTAGGACAACCCAATTTTTCAGGGGAAATAATTCAATAATCACTGCTGCAACAATCGAAAGCGTATAAAGCTAACAGGGTCATAGATGGACGATGTTTTAATCAATATTTGAAATTTCGCTTCGCTGGCTTAAAGACCATCAAAGCTGATTTTTTTTAATTTACTGTTTTGATTATTGGAAAAAGGCAGTTTGCATTTTAATTAAAATCATAACTTTGTAACAAACTAAATAAATGGGCGTTGAGTCCCTTGGGTTAGTTGAGATATTGTTTAACCCTTACCTGATGTGTGGGAATGTTGAACCCTTACCTAATGTGTGGGAATGTTGAACCCCTTACTTGTTGTGTGGGAATGTTGAACCCTTACCTGGTTGTGGGAATGTTGAACCCCTTACCTCATGTGTGGGAATGTTGAACCCTTTCCTTATGTATGGGAATGTTGAACCCCTTGCCTGATGTTTGGGAATGATGAACCATTACCTTATATATGGGAATGATGAACCCTTACCTTATGTATGGGAATGTTGAACCCCTTGCCTGATGTGTGGGAATGTTCAATCCCCTACCTGTTAAACCCTGTACCTGGTTAACTTGTAGGCCTACCTGTTAAACACCTTGCCTAGGTCAGAAAACGTTGAACCCCCTACCTGATGTGAGGGAATGTTGAACCCCCTCCCTATTGAACCCCCTACCTGATGTGAATGTTGAACCCCCTACCCGTTGAACCCCCTACCTGATGTGAGAGAATGTTGAACCCCCTACCTGATGTGAGAGAATGTTGAACCCCCTACCTGATGTGAGAGAATGTTGAACCCCCTACCTGATGTGAGAGAATGTTGAACCCCCTACCTGATGTGAGAGAATGTTGAACCCCCTACCTGATGTGAGAGAATGTTGAACCCCCTACCTGATGTGAGAGAATGTTGAACCCCCTACTTGATGTGACAGAATGTTGAACCCCCTACCCGTTGAACCCCCTCCCCTACCTGATGTGAGAGAGTGGAGCTCTCTTTTCGACAACATCCTCCTGGGTATCAACATCCTGGATGTCTCGATAAACGTCACCATGACAACAAGCGCGCACACCGCAGCGAATGCGGTCAGCAGACGTTGATTGGACGGGATGACGTAAGAACGTCTGGGCGTGGTCAATCGACTGAAACATAACATGACATAAGTAGGCAAAAAACATAACACGACATAAGTAGGCAAAAAACATAACAGGAGTTAATAGACCAAACATAACACGATACGACATAATTAGACAAAACAAAACATAACTGGACATAAATTAGACATAACATAACACGACATAATTAGACAAAACAAAATATAACAGGATATAAATAGACATAACATAACACGAAGTAGTTAGACAAAACATAACACGACATAATTAGACATAACATAACATAACACGACATAATTAGACAAAACACAACACGACATAATAAGGCATAACATAACAAAACACGACATAATTAGACAAAACATAACACGACATAACTAGACAAAGCATAACACGACATAATTAGACAAAACAGAGCACGACATAATTAGAAATAAGTTAACAAAACATCACAGAACTTGATAAGAAAAAAGACAAAACATAAAAGGACTCGATAAGACAAAATGTAACAGGACTTAATGAGAACAAAATATCACAGAACTCGATGATACAAGATATAAGGGAACCCAAAAAGACAAAAAAAGACAACATATAACACATCCCAATAAGACAAAAGATAAAACATATCAGGACTTGATAAAAACATAAGAGGACCCGACCATGCCTTTCGGTCAAAAGACATGTCTATGTAGCTTTAACCCTAACACTTGAAACAAATTACATTCGCTAATACCCAAACGTTTTCAGCGGACCTTTAGACTTAGCAATACAGCCAGGTAGTTCTCAAAAAACAAAAATATAAGAAAAAATATTTTAGTTTCCCTGCCCTGAGACTAATCTTAGCCCCAGTCATTAGCCTAATTCTAATGATATTTTTAGCTCTAAGGGGTCATCCATAAATGACGTCACGCTTTTTTTTGACGATTTTTACCTCCCCCCCCCCCCTCCCCTCCGTCACACGTCGTCACAAAAAGTCAGACCCCCCCCTAAATTGACGTCACACCTCAACCTACAACCCCCCTCAAAATTGCAGTTGAATTTTTTTTAAACATCGATATTTTTCCAAAATCTTGTCTAAACTATTACAATTTATTAAAACAGTTATCTAAAACGCAAAATAACGTCTGAAATTCGTTCTCTAACATTGCTTTTTTATAATCCAAAAATGTGACGTCGCAACATCTGAACCCCTCCCCCTCATCATATTAAATAATGTTAAATTACGTTAGACTATGTTAATTTGTGTTGAACTTTGTTAAATTATGTTAAATTGTGTTAAATTATGTTTAACTATGTTAACCTATGATAAATTAAATTATGTTAAATTTTGTTAAACTATGTTAAATAAATGCTGAGTTAAAGAAGAAAGGACATAACTATGAGACGTGAATGTGTATGGGGGGGGGTCTTTGTGTGACCAATTTTTAACATGTGGTTGGTGTGGTTAAAATCTGTTAAAATAGCATATCGTCTATATTTATGGACGACACGCAAGGGCTACAAAAAGATTTTTTAACGGCTTTCATATCATGGTTGCTGAACCGAAAAGTCTCGAGTTCAAATCTCTGGGCAGATGATGCTCTATAGCCGGGGACAGTAACCTATCTAGGAACTCCAAAATCAAACAACTGCTGTCTTGCAGTTAGCTCTAAAAATCCAGAAAGAAAAGCAGGCTGAACTTGGAGTCAACGGGACACATGGAGTATAAGTATAACACGTCGCCACGTAATACCTACTTGTGCTGGAGGAGATTCCGTCCCTCATTACAATTAAGAACGAAGAAGAACGAAGAAGAAGAAAAATACTACTTTGTCCTAACGGCGTTTATTCAAGTACGCATAAGTCGTTAACAAACCTCTTTTAAAAAATAAAAATAAAAAAGACATTATAAAGCTTAAATTTAAGAAAACTTAATTTAAATAAAAATGACGTAAAAATTGCACTTACTTGTTGTTTCTGAATCCATGTTGAAGATCCGCTTGGGTCGCCATTTTAGATCAAACAAGATCGGACATCCTAATGGTTCACGTCTGCTTAGATCAATACGTCATGAAAGTGATTGGCGGGTTGTTGTTTCTTTATTATCTTCATCATCGTCTGCTGGTTGTTTAACTTGAAGTGGTTATAGGCCAGTTTAGTTACTGTAAATTTCAAACAAATGTAAGGACCTGGTCAGATTGAGCTTCTTTAAACATAGGTGGCACAACGTATGAGGGCATAATGGGGGTGGAGAGTAAAAAGGTTTTAATTTTTTCTAAAATATTAAATCGACACTCAGCAAAGATAATATAATTTTTTTTTTTTTTTTTTTTTGGTTTATCTTCTATCTATCAACTGGTTAATTTTAACAACTTGTTAATAACAATTATTAGCCTAGTTTTTTTTTTTTTTCAATTCTTTTTTTTTTAAATTGCGATGTTTGGGGGTGGGCTAAACTGCGATGTCATTTTAAGGGAATGGGGTCTGACCTTTTGTGACGTTGAGTAACAATTGGAAGATGGGATGTGAAAATCTCAATAAAAAGCGTGACGTCTCTTATGGGGGACCATTTAAGAATCTAATCTGCTTTTTTACAAGATTTCTATATTTAGTAAATATGTCTGTTTGCTTGTTTATATTTATTTGTTTGTTGACGGACACTGGTAAAAGTATATATTTTCTATATAAATTCCATTTTGTTCGGGGGGGGGGCTGTAGACTGCTCATAGTTGCTTGCTCATGAGATCTCTTACATATTTTAGCCTTGTCTGATAATACTTGTCAGTTTTCTCAAGTATGGCATATCTATCTTTTCACGTTCTTTTCCGAATCTCTTGTTTTACTGGGATTTTCCCGTTTAGCTTTCCTTCTTCTTTTTCCTGTTCGTGCCCAAGACACATGGGGCGGATGAAGTAGAGTTAATCTGTTTCACTGACCTCGGCATTTGAAGGGATAGTATGGTCAGCACTATGCCCAGCCGCTTTTGCTTTCCCTAACATGAGTAAGGTACTCATTAGAGCTGAGACGTTCTACAAACTTGAACCCGGATTCGAACTCGAAAATTTCGGGTTAGACTTTCGTCGTCCAATTAATTTTCCTATTTGCAAGTCAATTTAAAGATTTCTCAAACCAAGTGTATATCAGTAAATAAACCGCCCCACCCCATCTTCCTAAAGGGCTACGATAAAGTCTAAACCGCTTGACATACAAGAAAAACAATTGCGCGTTATTTCACTTCACTAACAAGACGATTAGATCAATTTGTTCATCGTCTTCCGTTACAGTTCGTCTAGACAGGATCCGAACTCGAGCCTTGCCCGGCCCTCAGACAAGCGGGCCCCGTAAACTAATTTTAACAGTGTGTGTGTGTCTCGTTATGACGTTGGAATAATACTTTTTGTTTTATTACGTCATTTTACGTTAACAGCGTCACGCCTCCGCTTTCATCATTAGAAACGGCGTGTATATCATATGACACACACAAGGGAGAGGAAGGGTGTTGGATGATATTTTTATCTTGTTATATATTGTGGTGGGGGTCAGAGTTTCTTTAAGGCATCTCTTCTGGGGTGCTTCCCCTCGCCCCCCCCCCTTTTTCCCCATTCCTCATCCTCGGATAAAATATAAGAATTATAAAATTATATATTTTATAGAAAATTTAGTTTAACCAGTGTTCGCCGCCCTGCCATGGAAATTTCAAGTTTTGTGTCCACTCTCCCCCAAGACTTTCGAGTTAGCAGCTTGAACGCTTTACTATGACAATCACGCCCCATTCTCATTTGTCTTCTTCTTCGTTCTTAATCTATATATATAATTCTCTTCTGGGAGACGTTAGAAAACAAGCTGCAAGCGCGCCTTGCAGTCCCTTCTCTTCCTCTCTATCGCTACCACCATCAGCCCCTCCCCCTCACATGGTCAGGTGAGCTGTAGTTCACGCTAAATGTTTACAAAATAATCGTAGAGCCGGGTTTGGTGACGGCTATTAGGGGCAGATAATTTAGTTTGAAACGATTTTAAACTTAGAGGAGGTAACTAAGAGGAGGCTGCTTTCACATGGGGGGAGGGGGGTTTAGTGTTTTAAAGCAAATATTTTCAGTGGCAGCATTGGTACTGTCGATTTCAAAAATTATGAATTACTGAAAAGTAGAAAAAACAACAACTAAATAGCGGCGTATGATACACCGCGGGTCGGCTCGTTAAATTTAAACCATAAGTCCAACTTCGTGTATGAACTGGACTGTGGTCTCCAGATCTGTGGGTGCCCCATATAGTTTTTTCTGTATTCATAAGTTTGCGTAATTTCGTCTTTTTGAGATAGCTGAATGTGTGAGTAGATAAAAATAGCCTACATTTGTAAATGTTTCTAATCAATAGGCCTAAGTGACATGTGGTATTATCTAATACCATGAAAAGGAAAAATTTCTTTGTAGACCTAGCCATCAATTAGACAGACGATGTAGGGTTCATATGTTTCTTGACCTCGACTTATAAAGGAATGGTGTGGTCAACACTATGCTCATTCGCATTTACTTTCCCCAACACAAGTCAAGTACCAATCAGAGTTGTGTGGACTCAGGGACGTATTACAATCACAAGTCCGATCCTAGATCCGAACTGAGACCTTCGGGCTTATAAGATGTGGTGCTTATAATTTATTTTAAAATTTAACAAAGTGCTGTAGCAACAAATTATATCACGAGAGGCTCTGTGGGAATGTTATATAAGTTTACATGGGGTAGGGCAGTGGCGTTACTAGGTGGGGTGTCACCGGGGTGGGGTAACATAGTCTCACCTCGTCAATACTTGGGGTAATGTTTTAAAGATGTATGTAATTATACGTAGCTGCCAATTCAAATTCGCAAAACTGTATTCCTTCTATAAAAATTGGCCATTTCTTTTTTTCAGTTTGGTGTCATCCTCTCGAATGGTGTCACCTTTACGAATGGTGTCATCCAGTATGGTTCGCATCCACGCCTTGTCACGCTACTGGTGCTGGGTATAAAAATGTCATATTTTGTGTGTTATACAATACGTGCCTAATCACA